GTAACGGAGTAACAAGGATGTGGACGGAAAGATGACATTTGATGAGGTCATCGTCAGCAGAAGGGCTGATTTGCCGGTTTTGTCAAGTGGAGGGGCTGATTTGCTCTACTTTTAGGTAGAGGGGCTGATGCGCCACAACAATGGACGTAGAGGGGCTGAATTGCACCTTCTGCCTTTCCAAAAAAGGGAGAAAAAACCTTCGAGGCTACAACGCTCTGTTGCACTTGAAATCTTCAGAAATGGGTAGAAGACTTAGGCTCTCTTCTTCTTCTTCTTCTTCAGCTGCTTTTGCCACCCTATTATTGTCGTCGTCTTTTTCTTGATCTTCTCCATGGATTGTCCGCAGACCCTTCACTTCCACACACAACCATGTCGCTTCGAATCCCAAAGCCTTACAGAACGATCCAAACTGTTCCCCTACTGTTCAGAATCGAGATCCCCTCTGCTATTTTCTAAATGTAAGATGCAAATTGGGAATCATCAACATCGATGAAGCAAACCACTTCTTTGATTACATGCTCAGGATACGCCGTTCCAACGGTCACAGCCTTCAATGTGGTGCTTGGTGCACTTGCAATGGTCAGGCATTATAACCATGTCTCTTCCTTTTACAATAGATTGACTCCAATGGGCTTTTCTCCAATTTTATAACTTTTAAACACCTTGCTTACTTGCTGTTGTTACACGGCTCGAGTCCGTGACCGTCTTGCGGTTTTTGGGAGGATTTTGAGGGTGGGTTGTAGCCCAAACGCTTTGACTTTCACCACTTTAATCAGGGGGTTGCGCATCAACGGTAAGATTGGTGTAGCTACCATGTTGTTGGGGAAAATGATGGTCTTTGGTTGTCCCCCTAATGTAATTTCTTATGGGACCTTGATTGAGGGGCTTTGTAAGGAGGGTATGGTGGAAAAGGCAAAACTGCTTTTTACAGAGATGAAGGAAAGGGAATTTCTCCTGATGTGACTTTATACCTCCCTACTTCATGGTTTATGTTGCAAGGGGAAGTTGGCAGAGGCCCAAGCTTTATTCATTGAGATGGTGGATGAAGGACTGCAGCGTAATTTGGTAACGTCCAGTGTCATGATAGTGGCACTTTGCAAACAAGGGAGGATGGAAGAAGCAAATGTATTGCTAGGGTTGATGATCCAGAG